GGTTCTCAGAGCAGCTCTTTCACACGTTTTCTTATGGGTGATAGATTTGTCTTCGAGCGTTGTAAGAAATCACATATATGAATATACAACAGCCGAAAGTTTCCAAAACTTATCCTGCTGTGAAGTTTTACCCCTCACATTTTGGGGCAAAAGAGCCAAAAACAAACGCACAGATGCTACTGCAATTATTTGCTAATTCAGAGTTTGTGACTTCCCAATGAGTCATCACAGTCCTCTAACCAGAACCACAAATACAACCGAGATTGGGAGATTTCTCTGAATTATTTCCTGTGCAAAGTAGAAAATACAAGAAATGGTGCATTTTGTACAAAGCACTGATGTTTCCAGCAGGAAGAACTTGCCGCAGTCGTGAGATTGGTTTGTGTGCTTTATTGCCCTCATTACTCAAAATTTGCAAGGGTACTTCCAAGCAGGATTTGTTCATTTTGCTGTCTGTCCCTTGGATTTTGATATATCTGTGCTTGAGCACTGCTGCTTGGTTTTATTACAGATAAATCAAATTTATGCATAGGTTGCCATCAAATCACCACAAATTTGTCTTCAAGTAGGAGGTTTGGAGATATTCTGTTGAAAACATGTTTTCCAGCTTTTAGTTGTTCCTGTTTTTCTTCCTTGCTTTCTGTTGTGAGGTTTCACTTGTCGTTACCAGCTATTGCATCTTTAAATAGGTTTTCCCTTTCTTCACTGGCCTGCCTTCAGTGCTTGCTATTGAGTTGGTCTTATCGATCTTATATTCTACTTAGCCAAGCACGTAGGCAGAGTCAGAAGGCAGCAAGAGATCATTATTTGGATTTGAATAATAAATAACAGGCCTTTTGTATGGTCTTTGCAGCATATTATACATGGTTCAAAAGAAGTCATTCTTTCATTTCTTCCTTCTTACTGAGTAATTAGAGGATAAAATTTACATAGCAAATAATACTAAAAGAATTGTCCTCTTAGATAGAAGAACAAATTTGCTCAGTAATGGGAATGCTGGAGAGAAAATTTCTCCCATCAGGTGCTCAGATGTGTGATGCAACCCACTAATGTGCTGGCTGACAGATTGTGAAACAAGCACAGGCCTGGCACAATTAATTTCCAGAAGTTTCTCAGGTAATTGTTGCATTCTTCAGGTGCAGAGAGGTTTAGTAAGACAGTGTCTAAGGAAGGAATCTGGAACCACTCTCACAGATTCGTACAGAATCATAGAATTGAAGGGACCAGCACTGGGTGCTCCAGAATTGGCCTCCCCAGGACAGAGGAGAGGGAGGATCCCTCTCTCACCTCGCTGGCCATGCTCTACACAATGCACCCCAGGGTCCCATTGGCCTGCTTGGCCATAAGGACACACTGCTGGCTCATGGCCAACCTTTGGTCAACTTTTGTTCATCCCCTGGTCAGCCTCTCATCAGCCATTGGTCAAGCAGAGCACCCAGGTCCTTCTCTGTAGAGCTTTTTTCCAGCAGGTTAACCTGTACTGATGGGTGCAGTTATTCCTCCCCAAGATGCAGGACTCAACACTTGCCCTCGTTGGACTTCATGATGTTCTTTGTCCATCTCTCTAGCCTGTCGAGGTCTCTGAATGGCAACGCAGTTCTCTGGTGTATCTCCCACTCCACACAATTTGGTATCGTCAGCAAACTTGCTTCCTCAAACAGGTTTGTGATGAGAAGCCATAGAGCTGTTAGATCAAAGAATTAAATGAAGAATGCCTGGAAGAATTAAATGAAGAATGAAAATGCCTGGATGCCGACCTGTGCGACCTGGTGTAGGGAACCTGCTTTGGCAGGGGGGTTGGACTCGATGATCTCTGGAGGTCCCTTCCAACCCCTACAATTCTGTGATTCTGTGATTCTGTGATAAAGGAATGAGCTCTAGATCAGACCACAGTGCTGCTTATACAGTTAGTTTCCATGTGCTTGGGGCCATGTTTTGCATCTTTGGCAACTTGCGTTTTTATTTTAATTGCTGGAGAATTTGCAGTAGGACAGGGAAAGATATCGGTTGCATTGCTCATGAAATCCATACAGAATGCTGTGTCTATAGTAAAATTGCTTGATCCTCTCTCACTGATGAAGGATGCTCCTTTTGTGTTCCCCCCCCCTCTGCTCTTCCATTCAGTTTGCTGAGATCTGGTGATGGTTTCTGGAGCGAGCAGAGTGATCTGTTTGCTGTCCCTCCTGTCCCATTGCAGTGCCTGGCATGGTGCCTGCTGGGGAGGCATCCAGCTCTCCTGCAGCCCGCTGTCCTTGCTGCATTGAATACAACCAGCTTTGCAGCAGAAGTTCCATACAGATGGAAGATTTGCAGGCAAATGCCAGTTTGTGTTCCTGTCTTCTTTCCTACTGCTTGGTTGAGTTTTCAGTCAACTAGGAACACTAGCCAACAATCTTACTTTATACACTCGTCTGGAAGAATATGTCCTCCTTTGGCTTCTGAGTTATCATCAATTATCAGTGATCTTAGAGGTCGTTTCCAACCTCAGTGATTCTATGAGAGGGCATGGTGGGAAAGGGCTGATGCAGATTGGATATTAGGAAACTTTTCTTCTCTGGAAGAGCAGAGCTGCAGTGGCACAGCTGCCCAGGGAGGTGGGGGTCACCAAGCCTGGAGGTGTTCCAGAACCGTGGGGATGTGGCACTGAGGGACACAGTGGGCACGGTGGGGTGGGTTGGGGTTGGACTTGGGGATCTCAGAGGTCTTTTCCAACCTGAATGGTTCTGTGGTTCTGTTGAAATGTAGCCTGGCCCCTTGTTAGCATGGTAAACTGGACAATTAGAGCGTGATGTGCAGGTGGCCAACACGTGCAAGTGAAGCAAAAGCTGCAGCAGCGGGAAAGAAGAAATCTGTAGTGGGGGCACAACCTTGCTTGTGTCACTTCAACCATCACAGCACTGGTGTTTGTGGGGAGCTGGGGTTGTGCCTGCTGGAGGTAACCTCAGCCATGTCTGTTCTTTGGAGAAATTCTCTTTGGTCTTCCCTGAGAAACAAAGCTGAGTGGGTGCATTACTGTGCTGTTATCATAATGTAGTGACACAGTTCTTCCAAGAATGAGATATGAGAAAAGCAAGTCAAGCTGGTTTTGCTTTGAATCCTTCCTGATAGATTGTAATAGAAAGAGATTAGTTTGCACAGAGCTATTCGTGGAAATGTCCCAGAGGACTTCTGATGGCTGTTAAGCAAAGAAATGCTATTTCTTTGCTTCTGTGGATACCTCATGCAATAGAAAGTAGGAATATCATTAAATCAAATTGCATTTTATACTCAATGTCTTTCTTATCTGGAAAAAAAAAAAAAAAGTGTGAAGTAGCATAGGAAGAATTAAGAAAACAGAGTTAACACTTGTTTGCTGCAATGAGTTATGATGATGTCCTTTCCTAGCCTGCCGTACGAGAAATAATAAAGTTCCCAGCAAAAGGAATCTGTCTTGTTTTACTGCTTTTTCCAGCTGACGCCTTGTAGAGGGAAGTGGAAGGGCTCACATGCCAGCTGGGATGGTTTTATTTTTACAGCTATGTACAACTGTGTTCCATCGGGAATTGGAGTTGGTCCTTGTGGGTGCCTTCCAACTCAGGATGTTCAGTTCTTATTTATTACGTACGGTGGTGGTTTCTTTTAATTAGTAAACCAAACTGGGTTTCCATATGGATTCGGGCGCTACTCCTTTGTTACAAGCTCTCTGTTTAACCTCATGCAAATTTCTCTTGGATCACAAACTTGACCACAGCGTCTGCTGGCTGTGCTCCTGGAAATGCTTTATGTTAACCTTTGCCTACATAAATATATGTAGGTAGGTAGCCACAAAACTGTTGATTTTTAAGTCCCTTTAAATTTCTGTCAGCATGCCTGTAAAATGGGATAATAATAGGTAGAGGTCAACCACTCTCTGTAGTGTAAAGTGAGTTAATATCAGTGTGTTTTTACATTTTTGTGCATCTAATGTGTACCTGTGGTTTGTGCCTGCCTGGCTGGGTTGGCTGTGTTTTCATTGTAATTCTCTGTAATTCTCTCTCCATAAAGAAGTACAGCCTGCTGCAAGGGAGGCCCTGAGCAGTACCAGAAGGGCTCACAGTACCCTTACAAATCGTAATGGTGTAGGACTGCCCAGGTTATAGAACAAAACCCAGCTATAAGGTTAGCAAAGGTATTCAAGACTCCATTTCTGTTGTTTGTGTGTACGTAAGTACAATAAATGCAATCTGAAGGAAACAGCAAAAAGAAAAAAGTCACAGCTCTCATGCAGTAATCCCTATTCATTCCATCCCTATTAAAAGAGTGGCCCGAGCCCAGGCATTACTGATGGATAGTTAAACAACTGTTGGATGTAGGACAAGTGGTAATGGCTCTGTGTTGCTCCAGGGGAGGCTCAGCCTGGATGTTAGGGAAGACTTGTTCTCATGAAGAGCAGTGGTGCAGTGGCACAGCTGCCCAGGAGGTGGTGGGGACACCAAACCTGGAGGTGTTCCAGAGATGTGGGGATGTGGCACTGAGGGACATGGGCAGTGGGCATGGTGGGGCGGGCTGGGGTTGGACTTGGGGATCTTGGAGGTCTTTTCCAACCTAAGTGATTCCATGATTTCTCCGTCTAGCTTAGATTTAACTTACTAGAAATAAAACCCAACCAGGAGGTGTGCGCAGTCATTGTTAGAATGAAGGTTTATTGCAACACGTCAGTGCCTCACCTCTGTAGGCATTTTGGATATTTCCCCTATCTTGAATGTCCTCCTACATCTCTTTGAAGAATTGGACAGTGCCAAAGATCAGTGATGTAATCACAAATGTTTCACCTTCATTTTCAAGCAGTGCAGAAATCCCAAAAACTAATTAGAGAAGAACAGACCAAGGTCTTTAAGTACCTTTGTGCAAAGCAAACCCTGCTGCTCTTTGCCTGAACAGTGTCACTGAAAACGCTGATGCCCTTTTTCTTGCTATTGGTCTTGTTTTCTAATTTATTTCTTTTAATCACTAACTGGAACAAATTCCTCTTTCTATTGCAGTCCCCCTCGACCTCTGACTAACATGAATGACGCCATGGTGACCCACATGTCCTCCGGAGCACCGACACCAACAAAGAGGTAGGTGTACCCTGCAGCATTTATCATTGGCTTCTCAGAGAGGTGAAAAACACAGAGCATGGATTTTGTACCACTGGAGCTCTTCTAATGTGCTTTCAATAACACTTCTACTTCAAAGTGTGTATACAGCATCCATTAAAGAAGGAATTGTTTGCAACGCTGCTTTTTTTTTTTCCCTCTAAGGAGTGATTTTCTTGTATTGAAATAGATGCCATTACATGAGCGTGACTGAAGAAATATCCAAACATTGCTAAAGAAATTTTTGTTGTTGTTATTAAATAGAGCATTACTTTCAAAGCTGTTCTGAGAAGGACTGGTCTTGTATCATAGGCTGCACTGCTCACAAAGTAGAGTAATTCTGCTTGAGACATTTCACACAATAAGTTTACTTTATTACTTTATTACCTTTGTTAACACATATTCTCTGCACCGACCCAAGTTCTTTTGAGTTGTCCTTATCTACTGAAAGCATTTAGGTAGAGCTAAAGTTGGGTTATACTTACTTTTATGTATGTAAATTATTGCATGAATGCTCACTTGTAAACATGCAAGAACGTTGAATCATGGTTTTGCACTTTTCCTTTCTTGTCAAGTTAGGGGAAAATAGCAAGGTGTTCTGCTGAAGACTTCACTGGCCCAAAGCTGTAAATGAATAAATGTTCCCTTCAGGGAATGAGAAACAAAACTGGAAAAAAAATTCTCACATTTCAGTGACAAAATGGCACAGAAGAGGCAAGCCAAACCCCTCACTTTCAGCAGCAGTCTCCCAAGAAGGCTTAAGCACAGATCCACATAATTTCCTTCCAGTTTCCAAGACAAATGAAGTGAGTTGTATGTGCAGTTTTGAAGTGGCTGTGTTAAAATTCCAAAACTGTCTTGAGTCCCTCAGTTGGGTGACTACAAACTCCATACAGTGTGTGGTACGTTCTGTGACTTGAAAGTTGCTTTTTGCTGAATTAGAAGTGAAGAGACTGAGTCTGAATATTAATGTAGGCTGTCTTTCAACAACACAACCCATGACACTTTCTCACTTACTGGGTTGCAAGCAACCTCCTGGTCAAGGCCTTCAGTGTTTGCATTTAGGCTGTTTGGGCTTCACGTCTTCCCTGTACATGGCTGTTTTCTGTGCTGGTCTGTGGGCACAGCAGATGCCATTTCTTCTCATGGAAGCCTGCAGTCCCATTAACGATTTGTTCCTGTGCAACCCTGGAGATGCTCAAGAACTGTGGAGATGTGGCAGTTGGGGGCATGGGTCAGTGAGCGTGGTGGGGATGGGCTGGCAGTTTGACTTGGTGATCTTGGAGGCCTTTTCCAACCTTTATGGTTCTGTGGGTCTCTGACGTGATAGAATCACCAGCTCTGACACACTTCAGCTTTGGACATTTTTGTTGTTATAAAGGAGCAAGGTCTCTGTTGCTGCCTGCTGTCCAAGGTCAGGCAGACCAAGATAATTCAAAAATAAAAACTGTGAGAATCAGAGCAGTTTGAACACAGACAGCATGTCATCTGCCTCTACACACCCTGCCATCACCAACCACAGGACTTGCTTAAAGTGTTCCTCATGAGGATTGGTTATTTGCTGAGTTGGGCCTTGAATGTATGTAGCGCAGTGAGTGAGGCACCAAGGTGGATGTTAACGAAAACATGGCCAGTAGGTAATAACTAGTGGGTCCTTGGCACAGTTCTGGCTGTTATTACAACAGACTGGTTGATTGAACACAGTTGGCATTTTGAAAAACACACAAGTAACTGTAGCTGACTTCCCATTGAAAGGTATGGAGCTTTGGATAATGGATAAAAATCCCTCTGTGATTCAGTGGTTGCACTGAGACCTTCCAAGATGATGACCTCTATAGCACATACCCTTTACATATCCCATGCCCAGGAAAGGCTAAGAAATGGGAACAAACACCAAAGAAACTCCCAGATTCCATGGAATGATGGTTACTGTCATCCTTTGTCCACAGCTTGCTCTTTCTGAGAGGCAAGACATTTGCTGAAGCACAGAAGGGCATTATGCCAGTCCAGAGGCAATGGTGAGAAAACCATAAATCATCTTACTTTCAAGCATCATCTTCTGTCAGGCATTGTGAGAGCTCACAGGCAGCAAATATTCGGTAGCTGCCATCTTCTGTGATTGCCACAGCTATTTTAATACCTTCCTTTCTACCATCTCACCCTTCTTCAAGGATTCTCACTTTCAGAATTATGGGTTACTTCATCTAGCAGGTTCTGCAGGAGTCCATGGGAAGAGGCTTCTCCTAGTACTTACTTATTCCAAAGAACGAGTGGGGGTATTTATCTTTTCCTAAACCTGGGGGAAAAGGCTGTAGCAATGTTTGCCTCCATCATTTCAGCTTTTCAGGCCCGCAGCACACTGCTCCATAACCACTCCACAACCCCTGGGGATCTACGTGAGACTTGCAGTGGAACCAAAACCCATCTCACATCAGGTATTGACGTTCATCCTCTGATGTGCCTTTGTTCTTTGCAAAATTGTGGTGTCTGTGTACGCCTGTCTGAGTCTAATCAGGGTTGGGTTGGTTGTCATCACATCACATAATGAGGAAAAAAGGTCTTCACCAGAGCTTCTCTGGTTGTTCAGACGAGGATCTATGAGGAATGATCAGTGGAAGCCAATTCAGATTGTATCTGAATTGTATCCAAACCATTTCCATCTCTGCAAGGCTTCTGCATAACCTCGGCATGCAGCCAGTTAAACTAGATGGCTGCAGATCTGGGGGCCTCAGCGTCACAGCTGAAACACTTGGCTCTTGCCTCAGCTTGAAAAAGACTCCGTGCTCATCTCAGCATATGCCCACCCATATATGGTATAATCCTTCTGAGTATTTGGGAGTTCCAGTGCACTGGGTGAACCATAGAGTACATTGGAGCATCCATTCCTTTATCATCTGCTTAGTCAGGGACGTGAAGCGCGTCTCTGTGTTATCTTTGTATTCTCCTTTTCTTTCAACCTGGAACGTGTGCAGGTGTTTGCAGTTAGTAACAGAGTGATTGAAGGCAGGATGAATGTTGTTTTTTTCCCTTTGGAAATTTCTTCTATTTCTGTTCTGTAGTTCACATATGTCTGATTCCAGTGTGGGCATGGTGGTGATGAGTTGGCGGTTGGACTTGATGATCTTGGAGGTCTTTTCCAACCTTCGTGATTCTGTGAATGTTTTCCCTAGGATTTATTACAGTTCCTGTTGTTTAGATTAATCCCTGATGTGAGACTGCATCACCGACTGAATTCAGGGTCTCGTTTCTCCAGCTGCAGACACTGTCACATCTTGGCAGCATGAAGTGAACACATCGGGGCACTGAGACTGCTTGGTGCAAGCTGACTGCCATTCTGAGCTGAATTTTAATGTGCTCAGTGGAAGTACATGCTGATAAATGTATATATATAGTTTTAAAAACCTTTTTCCTGTGCTTCCTACTAATATTCTTAATAAGAGTTTAGTCGTAATTGTGATTAGTACTAAATTATTAGTGAAAAACTGCGTCATTAGAGTTTTAATCCACTTGTGGCAGATGTCACCATGGCAGAATGGAAACAGAAATGTCCTTTTGTTATTTCATGGAAACAATCTCAGTGTGACAGCTGCTTTGTTGGGGAGAAGGCTGAGCTGAAAGAGCAGGATTTTAATGCCTGAGCTTGCTTTTTTATGAACTAAAAATTGAAAAGCAAACAAACCAAAGCAGCCCTCCTCAAACGCTGCTCTCACCCGGCGCGCATCTCAGGGAGCCTTTATCTTTTCCACCCTCCTCATCCTCTGCTTTCAATGGGAAAGCATGCAGAGGGGCAGCGAACTCTGCGGATCCCAGGATTTCTGTATCTGTACTTTGCAAAGAGCTTTCTGTAGTGGGTAACATACTGCAGACAGAATGAGGTCAGAGAAAGTTTGTCCTAATAAGAGGGAAGTTCTGGAAGCGGAATAGTAGTGGTGGTCACTTGCAGCTTTGGATCACTTTCACATTTAGGTATGTAGTATTTAATATTACCATTTGGCTATTTTTCATCTCTCAGAATGTAAATTTCCAAATTCACATCAGTGGTTTAACGGCATGTTTACATTTGATAGCAATGGGGGAGGGAAACATTCGCAAAGGGAAAATTTGAATGCAAGCTTGCCTGTATTTGTGACCTATGATACAACAAAAGTCAGTGTTTCTCTGATCCGTATGAGCCGTTCTAAATATATGAAAGGATTACGCCTCTGTAAGATGAGGCCAAGCCCGCAAAATATGTTACCTTTTTTTGCTGATTTATTTTGTATTATTTTAAGAATAGATAATTTCTGCTGTGGTCCATGTGCACTGTTCTTCCACCAGCAATTCCCTTCCCAGAGGCCACCAGCCCTCAGCCCGTTTAACGATGTGCATTGGATGTTCTGCAGTCTCTTCTAGGATCACTGATCACCTGCTCCTTGTGGTCCCTCGCTCTCTTCCTGCCTTTATTTTGTTTGTCCTTGTTTATCTTGGCCGTCTCCGGTGCCACTGATTATCCTGTCCTTCAGTGCATGCATGACTGGGCACTTCCCAGCTTTTTGGACAGACCTCCAGACACCTTCCTCTGCTGTCAGTTCTGCGTTGATGAATTTTATATCTGTGTCATTGGCGCTGTCCCTTGTTGTTTGTGTTTTTTAGTTCTGTAACCCAGAGTGATGTTTATTTGCTTGGCTAGCTTAATTTATCTTCTGACAACTTCCAGTGTGCCTTTTTTTCTCCTTTGTTGCCACGCCACATTTATCTCTCCAACATTTCCTTCCAGCTGTCCAGTCACCAATTCCACCTGAAAGTGACTGACCACTGTTCTTGTCCGTTCTGCCATTTTTCTTTGACACAGGTGTAGTACATTCATTTTCCTATATTGTGCTGCTTAGACGTGTGTGAAATCTAGAGATCCTAGAGCCTCTTTAGCCATAGTTCCGTCCTCAGGAAGTTCACCATCTGCAGGCACTGCTGGGGCTGGGGCAGCGCTGGGGCAGGAGCTGGTG